AAGCCAATCAAAGCAAGGAATTGATTGTTATTACTACATAACAATCAAAGGTAATTACTAAACCCTTATTTCAGTTCTTATATAATAGATCTAGGGTTTATAGCTTTGGATATTCAATTGCATGTTCATTAGACAAACTAGATCCAAAAGCTATTAGGGTTTGCATGTACACTATAGGAATGATGTATTGCTTGAAACCCATCAAATGCCTTGGAGACCTAAAGTAAATAGAAGGAATCATGCATTAGAATCTCAAGACTCTAAATATCATACTCATATGGCAAACATACCTAGGACTATGATATGTGGAAAATGACAAGAACTTGCACTACTAGAAAAACAGCCTTTTACGACGCGCAATGCGTGTCGTAAAACGCTCAGACGACGCGCAAATGTGTGTCAAGGAAGGCCCTTTCATAACGAGAGACGACACGCTTTTGCGCGTCGTCTATTTACGACGCGCATTTACGACACACATTTATGACACGCATTTACGACGCGCAGTTATGACACGCAATGCGTATCAAGGAAGGCCCTGACATAAAGGAAGACGACACGCATTTACGTGTCGTAACATTACGACGCGCGTGTTTATGACACGGAATGCGTATCAAGGAATCCCCTGTCATAAATGAAGATGACACGCATTTGCGTGTCATAAACTTCGGTAACCATTTACGATATGCATTTACGACGCGTCTTTACGATACTCAGTTACGCATAATACAAAAATATGTAAACAAATGTATACTTAAACAATCAATTTCATCCAATAACATCATGTCAAAAAATTGTAATACATTGATATTAAGGGGATCTAATTGTACATTGTTATTAAGAGGTTTTCTCTAATTATATAACCTAATATTACATTGCGTATCAAGGGACACCTTCTGCAAAGTAATGCTATACAAACTAAAAAGATATACACAAAGATGATAAACATCAAATTCCAACTAAGTAGAGTTGCATCTTACCTTTCATAATTCTTTAGGACTAATGAACTCGGAATGCGTATCAAGGAATCCCCTGTCATAAATGAAGATGACACGCATTTGCGTGTCATAAACTTCGGTAACCATTTACGATATGCATTTACGACGCGTCTTTACGATACTCATTTACGCATAATACAAAAATATGTAAACAAATATATACCTAAATAATCAATTTCATCCAATAACATCATGTCAAAAAATTGTAATACATTGATATTAAGGGGATCTAATTGTACATTGTTATTAAGAGGTTTTCTCTAATTATATAACCTAATATTACATTGCGTATCAAGGGACACCTTCTGCAAAGTAATGCTATACAAACTAAAAAGATATACACAAAGATGATAAACATCAAATTCCAACTAAGTAGAGTTGCATCTTGCCTTTCATAATTCTTTAGGACTAATGAACTCCTGCTCCGATAATTCTTGTGACCCGATCAAATAAAAGTCAAAAAATTAATATTCTAATATAATTAATAGAAGAATCAAATAAGGAATGTTAGTTGCAAATACTTGTGCCAAATGTGAGTGGTCAAATGAGGGAAAAGTGAACATCTGCAAGCTTTTTGACACCAGCCTACACACAAGCACATATACATATCAAACAAGGATGTAAAAATCACCCGATGTAAAAATCCCAGCATTTTTAATGGAATTAAAACCTTTTTCTGCAACAAATAATAGTATCAAATAGCCAACAAGATAACAAATAAATTAATAATTACCAAATTTATGACTATTCTTGATTGGTATTTAAATGGAACCCACAATATAAGTAAATATATAAATTATAATACCTCACTTTCATCATCTAAAACTGTTTCCATGAGATAAAGGTCACAAAATTTTGTTATCTCCAAAAGAACATCCAAAACAGATGATCTCACAGTTGCTTGATTCTGTTTAAAAAAAAATTAGTGAACACTTAAATGATTAATTGTTATAACTTATAATATATATATATATATATATATAATATATATATATATATATATATATATATATATATATATATATATATATATATATAAAAGTGGCTAAATTGATAAAATGTGTGAATATTTTAACCAATACCTGAAGCTCCTGTGGGGTACATTGCTGAGAAGCTTTTCCCCATGCCATGCAGAATCTGCACCATGTGGAGGTGGAATAACTCGAATTCCATTGGATATGGATGGAGGAAGAAGAACATGCAATTCCTTCTCTAATCTTTCTGCATTACCAAAATACTTACTAACTTCAAAAACCCCCATCCATCACTTTATTACACACATCATCATATAATGAACACCATCATCTGTCTATGTGTGTGTGTATATAAATAAAACTAGTGTAGTATCCCATGCGCTGCATGGGTACCTGTCAATTTTTTGTCACAAGGGATCTTGTAGAGGCTGGTAAACATATTATACTCTAGCTCTCTTGGATTAATTGCTCCCAAAGAGACGGAAAAGTGGCTTCCATAAAATGTAGCCATGTTCTGAATATAATTTCAAAACTGCCCACTACACACACATCAGACATAGTGTTTGACCTTTATTGCCTCTGAAACATATTGAATCCCAATAATGTCCTGTGTTCATATGTTGTTTCTATACAAAGACATGTCTTTCACTCCTAATATGGCGTCCAAGGAAAATATTTACATATATGTGAATTACATGGAGTCTAAATAAAGCATATAACGACAACTTTATGTATCTTTATTTTCTTCCGTTTTTGGGGCACATAGTGGTTCGGTAACATTCAACACCAAAAATAGATTATTAGAGAAAGGAATCAGTATACAAAGTTCCCATAGGTATCCATGTTTCTCTAATGGGATCACATTTCTTTCTCTAGCAAGGTCTTATAGAAACCAAGGAAAAGAAACAATTACATGAATATAGACCTATCTATAATTAGCTTGGCTAATATGCCTTTTTATACGTGCCTCAGATTTCTTTCTCTGATATGCCAACACTACTTCCAAATCTCGATCAAATTTTAAAGAACTCTCTATTTTTAACATGTTAAGCATCTGTTGATATGCCAACAGAGCTTCCACAAATTCCTTCAAACAAAAGAAAATTCAGAACAAAATAAGTAAAATTGAAAAAAAAAATTATTAAAAGAGACGATTGTGTTCACCTTATAACTTATAAGCATCATGGCATTTAGGATAACCGAATTCATCCAAAAGTACATATGGTTTAATTAGTTTAGCGTTGAATCTTCTCCTCTCTATCCTTGGAAAAACAAATGATAATAAGCTCTAAAAGGACTAAAACTTAAAACATAAAAGTTCAAAAAATGTCAATTAAAGTGTTATTCCAAGTACTTCCATTGTTGAAGAGAAACAAATCATGTGATTAGTTACCTCTTTCATTGATTACACGACTCTTCCCTGCTTATTTCACCTCAATAAAACATGTGATCTGCAATTGTGCCACGGGAACACACACAAAAACAAATTAAAATACTGATTAATAAATAAAATCCAAATGAAATAAAGTAAATGTGCCTCAGCTTTGAAAAATGCAACCGCAAAGCCATTGAAACAACCGACAACAGTCTGTTGAATGTCTATACCGAGATTATCAAGAGTTTTTGTCATAGAAGGCGGTGAAAGATTTTATATTTAATAATTATAGGAAAAATGAAACATCAAGATTTAATTTACCAGAATTGCAATTGCAGGACATCAAGCAATTAGTTTCATGACTTGTAGCCACTTCAGGGATAAAGTAGCCACTTCAGGGAGTTTATCGTTGGGACATGTCCATTTCCATCTATTTTGACTTGTACATTCTGTGTTTTTAACATTTTCTTCATAAATGTATTTGTATATATTAAATATGTATACTTTAATTTAATAGTTAAATCATACCAGATATGCAGTTACAGGAAGAAGAGCAGTTTGGTGGAATGATAATTTTATGGTTTAGTTGTTTGCATAGCATGTATATATCCACTTGTTTATGCCTGGGGTCTCTGCAACTTAATATGTTCAAATTAAAGCAACAATTTAAGCTAATTTCAGTATTTGATGAAATGATGATCAAAAGAAAATTTAGAATTACAACAATATGGTATAAGAATTAGTACTAACGGAAACACCACCACACAGCTCCATGGATTCGGCCCTTTTCAGAAGCAACAGCATGTTGTTGTGAAGACAAGTTTGATGATGACCTCATCATGTCAACTCTACTACCACCAATAGCCAAAATTGCAGGATCCATCAACTCAAGCTCGCCACCACCGTTATATACAGGAGCCACTGCTGCTTGATGCTGATGCATTTTTCTCATTATAGAATTACTCTCAAATATATGATTCCCAGCAATAAATATATATATATATATATATATATATATATATATATATATATATAAAATACATGTACAGGAGAAAGATAAAAGAATATATGATAACATATCAGATAAGTTATCATATGTCTGTTCTACCCTCTCATTAGAGGTGAACCCTGGAGGTGGTGCTCTCCTGGGCCCCATAAATCCAGGAGGTGCAGAGATTTGGGATTTTGAAACTGCCAACAAAAAAAACATATATTATAAGTAGTGAGACTCAATCATACATGATAAGAGTGATTAGAGTCACGCTTCATGTTCATGTTCATGTTCTGATGATTGAGATTTTGCCCAAAATCACTAAAACTTTGAGTGAAATTGAAATTGGATCCTTGATCCTCCTCTCTTGCAAATGAGAACCTTGACTGATTGCAACTTTGTGTTTTCCTTGAAGAACCAAGGGTCAAAGTCCATTGACAGAATATTAGATATTATACTGTTTTCTCCTAAATCTATTGAACCATTATTATTACTATTTATATATATGGTCCCTCTTTGTATAAAATGACACACCTGGCTGAGAATGTTTTTTCCCAATATGAGAAAAACAACCTGCATGGTTGTAGAAATATTAGCTTATGAAAATAGAATGTTATTTCTTGCATTCAACCTTTTTCAATATATGCAGAATCATATCATGAGATTTAAAGGGTTGAAAACTTACTAAAAGCTGCTGATGGAGTCACTGGATTGTCGGAAAGCACACCATCCACACAGAATCTGCCATTATCCATAAAATACAGATACTCTTCTGCAGGGTCATAACTGTAATTATACGCAAGTTGCACATCATTCATGAAATCTGAACCAAATACTTGTAAACCCTCTTTGTGGGCATCCAAGACCAATGAGGTAGATGGTTGTAAATAGAAGTCATTATCCACAGGCCATATGTATGATTTAGGAACTAAAACACCAGAAGCAAATGTCTTGATAAATGTCAGATTTTTTAAAAGTGAACCATATGTTTGATTGGTTGAGGGCTCAGTCTTGTTCACTTCTAGAAATCTGAAAATTAGTTTTGTGGTGGTTGATTTGAATGTTGTCATGATACTTTTCAGAAATTCCACCTCTGGTGATGATATGTATTTAACAAGATTTCCTTTAGAAGCATCGATCACAAAATTTCTCATACTCAAATTGTGTTGCCTGAAAAATGCATCATGATGCAAAAGTATAAGCAGAAGGGAGGTTAGCAAACCAACAATGAAACAAAACACAATTATAATCTTGATCACTGAATGAGTAAATTTCAGATAATTTGTTGCCTATGCCATTAACCCTTTCTATTAATCTACAAAGTAATAATCACCTAGACATTCAACCACAATCTTCCCTGATTCGCAACATCATCTACAGTAAGGATGGTTCTCCATTTAAAGAAAACACAATATAGGGATAGAGTTGATAATCTGGAAGAAAAAAGACGAAGAACAGAAGAATATGAGGTCGAACTAACGGAATGGAATAAATAAAGGAAAATGCTTACCTTTTTCTTCGAACGGGGGGTCAATTGACTTTCAATCTTCGGTGTTAGGGCTTAGCGATTGTAAGAGGAAGAAGACAGATATACTCTCATAGACGATGGTTGTATGTGCTTGATTTTGCGAAGATGAGTTAAAGGAAAGAATTAGGGGTTTCTTGTTGTAAGTGATATTAGGTTTTTTTGTTGATGTTGTAGTTCGTATAAGTCAGGGGAGAAGCCGGGAAAGTGGTTAGAGGAGAAGGGAATCGCTGAAGAAGAAAAGTAGGATGTGTTCGTAAGATGGAAGGGAAAATTGGCTTAGAAGCCGGTCAAACATAATGAAACGTTGAAACGTTTGGAAACAACTTCTCCCAAATGGTTGGAGAAGAAGGCGAAACGATGGATTTTACTTTGTGCCGGTTGGAAGGTAAGATACGTTACGTAATTGGAAGCCGGAAATACAAACAGTAGCATATCTTGATGGGGGGTTTTGTTATCGGTGTAGTGCGACAGGAAAGAATGGTTGGAGAAGATGGTCGGAGACACTTGGCGGTGCAAGATCGGAGGTTGGGTGGTGGGGCGATGCTGCTATGAAGACGAAGGCTCTAGGGCTTTTTCTTGCTAATTGGAAGAGGCGGGGGTTTTTAATTTTTGGGATCCAATAGACGGGTGAAATCCGCCTTAAAACGCGTGTTTCATTAAAAAATATAAAGTGACACACTTAGATGACACACATTTTATGAAAGGCGCCCTCCGCATTTTTTTTTCTTTTCTGACACTAATTTTAGGGCACGCAAAAATGCGTGTCGTCTATCCTTCAAATTTTGCAATACTGACATTATTTTTTAGGGCACGCACAAATGCGTGTCCTCTATCAGCGCATGTCATTGTTTGCGCGTCATTAAAGGGTTGTTTTCTAGTAGTGTTGGGCATAACAAGAGTTCTTTCAAAATTAATGAAGCTCCCAAAGATCCTATTCTAAAAAGAAAGATTGGGAAACAAGGAAAGATGGAGTTTGTTAACCATATTTTGACCATGTCCCACCTAGAAGGACTAGAACAAGGATGGATGGTGAAGGGAAGCACTAACAATGTATAACATGAAGATATTCAACCTACTCAAAATCTAGGGGAAAATGTGCGTAATGAAACTAGTCAAATTGTGGAAGATGAAGGGGATAATGTGAGTAGTCAAACTGTGCAAGATGAAGGGGATAATGTGGGTAGTCAAACTGATCAAGAGGAGAATGTGGCTAAGTAAACTACTAAAAGTATCTTAGTTACTCCTAAGAAAAGGATAAAGATGAAAGAAAGGAGGTGGGAAGCGAAACAAATAGGAAAAGGAAAGAGACTATGGTTAAGGTCAATGAGACAGATGTAGGAGGAGGGCCAGAAGATATGTCCCTTACTTATGAAAAATTCATTAATGACATCTTAATTAATACACATTATGTTGAGGATAAGATGACTGAGAATGAGGAGAAAGAGACCGAGGTTGAGGAGAAGGAGAATGAATTATGGACATGGAGATGGATCCTGAGCTCGAGGGTAAAGAAAGCTGAGGTTAAGGTCATAGAGAATGAGGTTGAGGACAATAATGATGATGTGGGCATGATAAGAGACATGGTTGAATCTGGATATGCACAAGCTAAAATTAATTTAACCATGCAAAAGGTATGCAATTTACTTGTCCCTTTTTATATCTCTTTGTTATTCATACCAGGATATTTATTTGTTTATAGGTGAGAAGGGAGAGACAGAAGATGAGGCCTAAACATGACCCTGTTTCATTGTTGAAAAGGAGGAAACCTTCTAAAAGAATCCTAAAGTTAAAGATAAGCAAGAGTGAAATTAGCATGCATGCATATTGTAGGGGTAAATGGGCACTAGTATTTATTATGCCCATTTCGTAAACATATCTTTTGGTAGCATGTTTCATAATGTTTGGATTAGCATGTATCATATTGTAGGGGTAAAATGTTGATTAGTATTTTGCCTGTTCTTTTTGAACATATATCTTTTGGTAACAAGTTTCCAATTCATGTCAAATAAGTTTGGCAGAATTAGAACCTTGGATCTAATTGTTATTACCCCTTTGTGTAGTTATGTTGGTACTTTGGCCATAGTACATTGTCATTTGTGGGATGTTAATGTCGACTAAAGATAAAATATCACTTACTATTACCTTTGGTTGAAAGTACATTTTCTTTTTAAGTTCATTATCTTGATTGTTGTCAATATAATTTACATTGTAAAGTAAAATGCTATATAAGTTCATTGACATATGAAAGTGCATTTCCATATCTGATCATTAGTATTGAAAAATGTCTGGGCAAAATGTGAAAATAATAACCATCATACTCATTGGGGACATTTCCCATTATAGGACCTGAACTACATACCAAAACACTAACACTGCTACCCTTACCCTTACACTTTAAAAAAAATACATAAACACCAAAAGATCATAACCACCTTCAAAAGAAACACCATCATGATCAACACCGCCTTTCCCAAAAAACTAATGCTCACATCTTCAACATATATGAAACATAACTTTGTGAACCATGAAAAACAGTAAAATCCATGAAAAACAATAAAATCACCAACACTAGAAGAAGCACCATTATGATCACCACCACCTTCAAAAGTATCAACATTATTTTCTAACATTTTTAGCTTCATTTTCCTATCGAACTCAACATACAACTTCCACATGGTTTCTTTGTAGTGATTGTTTGGCAATGGTGGATCAAGCCACAAGAAAAAAATCACATTTTTTTTTGTTCTGCACATTGTGAAAAAGGATTTCCTTAGTTCTTAGTTCAATAGCAACAAAATCACAAAAATCATGTCACTTTTACGAGAGATAGTTAGGACACCCTTAGAATTTTCTGCTTGGATTTTCATCTGTTGTGGAGATCGAGAAAGTGGGAAATTCATCGCAATTGCACCTAAGGTCTTCAGACCACCGATTCCTTAATGCCCATGCCCTATAGTACCCAAAATTTGAACAGGATACCATGATTTACCTGTGGGAGAGAGCGAAGGAAGAGCGTGACCTACTTGTTGAAGATGCTAACCGTCCGGCGTTCAAAAGTAATTTTGAAAGCATAATGACCTGTTGAAACCGGTGAAGCCGCCTGATAGGGCTCAATACTCATACACACAAAAAAGGTCATAGTGAACGGAAAATAAAATATTAGGGTTTTCCTAATTAGGTGTGTAAAAGTTGTGGCTTTTATGGTATTTTCCCTAAAAAATATAGAAGTTTATTTATGTAAGATTCCACTTATATTGTTTTTTTGGGTGTTTTAATACATTTACATTTTTATAGAATAGGTTTTTGTTACAAAATCTTTTTAATTTTTTTGGTCATATTCGTTTTCATGCACGCTAGACTATTTTTTCCAATGTATATATAGTTTCCACTACAGCATACAAGGTGCAAACCTAGTTTCAACTCATTTCCTAAGATACTACATACATCTTTTTCTTACCACCACCGGTATGTAATTATGTTGAAATTTTACTCTATGTAATAAACAAATAATAAATTATATACCTTAGATAAATTGAAAATGGTATATATTTAACTTTTTGTGATACAATTCAATTTAAAAATATGTCGATAATGTTGATATTGGTATCAATGGAGGGGGTCGACGGGGCATCGATATAAAATCAGGGTCGTTCCAAACATATTTTGGGTTTGGGGCGAGAGGGAAAAAAGGCCCTTAAAATACGCAAATTTCATCAACTTTTTTTTTATAATAACTCAATAATTGAAAGAAAATTACTTGTACTAGCATCTAAATATAACATTTTTCGATTACAAAAATCTACACATTTAAAGAAAATATTTCTTCTAGCATTTGAGATGCAAAATCATTAATTATATCTTCAATACCGATCTTGTCTAACATATCTTTCTCTATATATACATAGAATAGCCAAGTTGTTCAACCTTTCTTGTGACACCGACAACCTTAAGCAATTCATTAGTAACTTCAACTTTGAAAAACTCCTCTCTGCAGATGAAACAATTATATAAATAGTTAATTGGATTCTATATGCAATGAAAACATTCGGGTAACAATCTGTAGCTTTAACAAATTCCAAAATTTCAACTACAAATTTTATATTATTAGGTAGAGTCATTTGCAACACTTTTAATTCACTAAAAATCATTTGAATCCACATCACAAAATGTCATTAGAAAAATTAGTTGCAAATTTTATACGAGACACTTTATGTTCAATTTCATCTAATGACTTTAAATTCTTTGTATCATATAAAAACCCAAAAATACTTTCAAAATAATTTAATTGTTCAAATCTAGTATTTAGTGAAACGATTGTAACATCCATAACAACATAAGAGTAATGAAGCTGAAAATACTCTTCTGATGATTGTATTGCTTCTTCATAATTACTTTCATCAAATTGTTTTTTTCTAGTAACATTATGCATTAACGAAAATGTAGGTTCAACATCCATATCTACAACAATAGTTTTAGCAATATTTATGCTTTAAGAAAGCACTTCATTTCTAAATTTCTTAAAAAATGTCCTTACATTTTGTAATTGGTTAATAGCGGCATCAATACAAATAGATTTAGATTGCAATTTTTTTACTTACCATATTAATAGTAAATAAAATTTCATACCAAATAACCATACCAAGTAAAAATTCAAAACTCTGAATAGTTTTAACTAAACTTTGGACTTTATTATTTTTTTTGGCTCATCACATAGTTTAGCCAATTCTAGAAACTTCCGACTTCATTTTTTGATTTTGGGTCATCACATAATTTAGCCAATTCTAGAAAAGCTAATCGTATTTGGGGAGCTTGAAATCTAATAGTTTTGACATTTTTAATTCCATTTTCCCTCATAAAGACTTTATAGTTAAAGTTGGAATATTATCTAATAATACTTTCCATCTTTTAGTAGAACTAAAAAATAATGAATATAAGCATTGTACAATATCAAAAAATGAAAAAAAGGGTCACAAGAAAGGTTGAACGACTTGGCTATTGTATGTATATATAGAGAAAGATATGTGACGTAGATACACGTAGATACATATTATTAGTTTCAACTCATTTTCTGCCATTTTTTCTTGGAAACACACATTTTATTGGTTTCATTGCTGACGTAGATACATAGTCATAAATGAGCCGATGAGATGGATATCAAATTTTACAGTAAATGTGACATTATATAACCCATCGTATTCATTTTATCAGCTAATTTAATGACTAGGTGTCTAAGTCAACAATGAAACCGATAAAATGTATGTTACAAGAAGAAAAAGGGCCAAATCATTAGTAAATTTTATTTTGGGACTTATTTGCAAATTAGGGTAAAATAATGGGACTTTAGTGAAACAGGTAAATAATAAAACCGGTAAACCGGAAAAAAAGGGTCAAATCGCCATTTTTATCGGTAATTTATGCTTTTTCGTAAACAAAATTTAGTTTGGGACTTTTTCGTAAATTAGGGTAAAATTTTAGGACTTTTCTGGAGATTTCACTATGATATATATAAAGCTCTAGGATTAATTTCAGAAAATCGTTTTTCAACCCATCGATGTTTTCCTTTCATGTTAGACCCATTTATCATAATAATGACCATTTACATCATTCACATTAAGATCTAACAATTTTAATTAAAGTCAACTTGTATTTTTTTAGAAGACAAATTCACACATCTTATAATTAAAGTCATTTGCTCCTGTATCACATCCGTAGTACGATAAAAAATTTATAGAAAAATTAGTCTATTTAATTATTTTAATTATAGAACTTCTTACCGTGTGGCATAAAAGAGAAATAAGTTCATTTTGAATTTTGGGGACAAGATAATGATGATGAATTTCTTGATTTTCTATGCGTCTAACATGATGTAGCATTATACCATCAAATTCTACCATCATTTGTATTGCTCCCAAAAAGTTACCATTACTATATTCATAAAATTTAGAGTTAGAACCTCGAAAAGCCAAATTATATTTAGACAAATATTTCACAACAACAATTACTCTTCTAAAAACTTGTCTGCAGTGCTCTTTACCCTTTAAAATTTCTTGCTGTAAATCCTTATTAATAGTAAGGTTTTTATTCATTAATCATTGTTTTGCTTCATTCCAAGAACTCATACAAATCAAATGTTCATTACTACTTTCATGTTCTTTTAAGTCGCACACTTAAGATATTTCCAATCATTATATCCTTCATTTGTTAAAAAAACATTTTTGATTAGTATATTTAAAAAGTTTACAAATATGACTTGAGGTCAAACTCATTACAAATATGATGATACATGTCTAATCCTATCAAAGAAATACTCCCTCGATCTCATATTTTGTCTACTTTTAACTTTTGAATTCGTTATTCTTCAACTTTTACCTTATACACTTTTGTTTTTTTTATATATAATACTTGATAAAAAATAAATGAATGAATGAATTGTGTTTTAAAAGTCATGTCATTGTTATAAATTTCATTAAGTAATTTATAACACAAATAAAAATATTTAAGGTCAAAGTTGAAGAATAAAGACTTCAATAATCAAAAGTGGACAATAAATATAAGATGGAGAGAGTAATATATATCATTCAAGTTTAGTATACATGCATCATGATTTTTTATTCCCTTTGAATGTTAGCATTTTGTGTCGTGGTAATGTATGTAACATTCATCTAAAAAATATATAATTCTAAACAAAAAAAAATGTAGTTTTTGATATATTTACAATTTTTTACTAGTATATTTAAAAAATTGGATTATTTAAAATATTTTTAATTTGTATTATTTGATGGAAAATATTTTCTAAAATGATTAATTTCATATCTAAGTTTTACAGGATAATGAAACCAATAACTTATTAGATTAATCCATATTATTAAA